CCTCCCTCCCTCCCTTCCTTTCCTTCTTTTTCTACTCTCTCACACATAATCTCATTCTGTAACCCAGATGGTCAAGAACTCACTATGCTGCCCAAGCTGGCCTCCAACTACCCACAGTCTTCTTGCCGCAGCCTCTCAAAGTATTTGAATTACAGGCACTGAACCAGCACACCCAGCTTCAACCTTATTTTCTTCTCTTTGAGGGTACAGAGACCTTTTGACTGGGGAAGAGTGGGGCTCAAGCTAGCTACCATCCTCCAACCTCTGTATGAGACAGGAGGCTCTGACCCTGTAGATAGAGAAATGCACTAAACATCTGGTTCAGGTTAGTGGACCAAAATGTGGAAGATATGGGAATTTCTCTCCCTGATGGGCCTCTAGTTCTTAGGATTCCTTTTCTTTCTTTCTTTCTTTCTTTCTTTCTTTCTTTCTTTCTTTCTTTCTTTCTTTCTTTCTTTCTTTCTTTCTTTCTTCCTTTCTTCCTTTCTTTCTTTCCTATTTCCTTCCTTCCTTTCTTTTTTCTTTCTTTCTTTCCTATTTTCTTTCTTTCCTATTTTCTTTCTTTCTTTCTTTCTTTCTTTCTTTCTTTCTTTCTTTCTTTCTTTCTTTCTTTCTTCCTTCCTTCCTTCCTTCCTTCCTTCCTTCCTTCCTTCCTTCCTTTCTTTTTTTGGTGATTTTTGAGACAGAGTCTCACTGTGTAGTTCTGGCTATCCTCACTCTAGACCAGGCTGTCCTCAAACTCATGGAGATCTTCCTGGTTCTGCCTCCCTAGTGCTAGAATTAAAGGAGTGCTCCAGCACACCCAGCTCAGCTCTTAGGAAATCTAGACTGCTCGGTTGCTCTGCTTCTATGGAAGGGTGCCTTTCCTCCACCTCCCTTCCAAGCAGGAGTTTCCTGAGTCAGCTCTCACCAGGTAATGCTCTTGAGAAAGCATGGGAACAGAGAAAAGAAGCCTGCACTGAGCACAGCAGCCAACTGTCTATGTTTTCCCCAGAATGGCAGTGACGTCAGTGTGATACTCACAAAAGCGGGGCCCTGACTTCCCAGTTGGCGCTGATGTTGGCAGTGCCATGGTTGCTCAGCGCTCTAATTCCTACCCCAGGCACAAAGGCCAGTGAGGTATTCGGCAGTGAAAAGGCGTTGATTTTTATGCTGTAAAATACGAAACAGGAAAGTTAAGGCAACACTTCTGGGCATCGCTGAGGCAAGCAGAATTGGAAGCTGGGGCTGCCCTGAGATTGCAAATTCCTGCAGAAGAAGGGGTCTCCCAGCTCTCTAGTGGGATGTCTGGGTGTGGCCTTGTGAGTCCTCTTAACTTAGCAAGAAGCACTTGAGGGAGGAGGCAATCAAGTTCAGAACTAAATTTGTAAATAATCAAATAATCCACTTCTCAAATTTCTTTTTCTTTTTAGTGTGTATGTGTGTGTGTATGTGTGTGTGTGTATGTGTGTGTGTATGTGTGTATGTGTGTGTATGTGTGTGTATATGTGTGTATGTGTGTTTGTATGTGTGTATGTGTGTGTATGTGTGTGTGTGTGTATGTGTGTGAGTATGTGTGTGTCCATACGAGGCCAGAGAAGGACTCAGGTGTTCTGTTGGGCCACCCTTATCTTGTTCCCTGGAGACTTGGAGGTAGGCTGGTGGCCAGCAAAATGGTTCTCTTGTCTCTGGTGCCTGCAGTCCCTGGGTTACAGGTCTATAAAGCCCGGCCTGCTTTTTATGTGGGTGCTTGAGATCTGAATCAGGCCTCATGCTTTTGTAGCAAGTATTCTGGTTCACTGAGCTATCTCCCCAGCCCTTTGGGTTTCTTTAAAAACAAAAATAAGTACAACACTGCCATTATGTTTTTAAACATATATATATATATATATATATA